CCTTGGACATTATTCCACAGATATATATATCCCATTTTCCTAGTTTCCAGCAGACCTCACAACCTCTGAGGATGCCTTCCATTGATGCAGGCGAAATGTCAGGAGAGAATGCCACTGGAACATGGCCATGCAGTGCGGAAAACTCACAAAAACCCAAAGGGTTATTCTGCACGGCTCTGCTGCTCTTTTAACTCATTTGCCACGATTTTGTGCTGCTGTGCTTGTTCAGCCTCCGGGGAAACTAGGTTTTCATGAGGAGCCTCAAAATGACATGGATATTCCTCGCATTTCTATCTGGAAAGGCTCCAAAGCGGGTAATATTTCCAGCGGCCAAAGGTAGAGGTTGGGGGGCCTGACCCCTTCCTGACTGCAAGCAGAAAGGAGAATGCATTATTCAGAACGAGGGAACTTCCGGAATAAATGTGTGCATTTGCATAATTTATGCATGTGGCAGAACTTGGATTTGGAGTTGCCTTTGCTTTCATTTCCAATTTAATCTTTTCTTCCACTATTCTGATTTAATTGTCAGGGTGTGTTTGTGTGTGTGTGTCTCTGTGTGCGTTCGTGTGTTTATATAATCTATCTAGCTATCGTCTCTATATATATAAAAATGTAATGTTCGTTTGTGGGATTAACATAATTAAAAAACTACTGGACGAATTGACACAAAATTTGGACACAATATACCTAACAGTCCAACAAGTGTCCATCACTCATAAACACACACACACACACACACACAAAACCCCAGGAGAACAGACTTAACCACCACCACCCCCAAAATACACCATATATACATATACACATACACTCATATACATATACACATGCACATATTCATACACACACAGGTATATATATGCACAAGCTCACACAAATACACATACATATATACATATACAAATGCACACATACATGCACAGATACATATATACATATACACATGCACACACACATACATASCCACATACATACATATACACACAAATATGCATATAGACAAGCACACAAAAATMCAGTATGCATGTACACATACAAACACACAWAT